CCCACACACCCACACACACCCACACACACCCACACACCCACACACACACACAGGAACCCACCCCAGCGCCAGGCTCGTGCTGCGGCCGAACTTTTAAGCCGCGCTGCAGCGGCCTCCACGGTGCCCGACGAGGGTTTTAGAGCATTTAGAGTTTGGAGGGATTTCAGGTCTTGGGAGGTGCATGCTGGAGTCAGGGCTTTTGGGCTGTGGAGTGTGGTTTTAAGGTTGAGGGCTTCGGGCTTTGGAGTGTGGAGTGTTGGAGTGTAAGTTGAGGGCGCTTCATTGCTGGAGGTTTACCTTGGAGTTTTGGGCTTTGGGATTTCAAGCGCCAGTGGGCTGAGGCCTGTTGGATCGGGTGAGTGTTGAGCTTGGGGTGTTTCCAATTCTCGGTTTGTTTTCGGCTTGTTGGCAGAAGTCAGCGTGAATGTGAGATCACCTGCATTTGGGTGTTTCTTTTGAAGGGTGAAGCATGCCTCTCGGGAAAGGTCGCAGAAGCCCAAAGTCACAGACGAGCCGAAAGCAAAACGGTCGTTGTGCGGAGTGTCCGTAGTCACCGGAGTCGTTGTGCTGTTCTGGGGTGCCCTTCCCAGCCTATCCGATCATGGAAGTTGCCCGCTGATTCCCGGCCCCCCGAAGCTGCTGCAGCCCGGCTCGGCCCGGCCACGGAGACAGGCTTTGGCCGAACAGCTGCCTGCTGCGCTGAGGCGAGCACGAGCCGCGGAGATGGAGGCCACTTGTTGGTTTCTGGCCGAACTGTTGTGGTGCATTCCTGTCTAAGCCTTAGGCATCTCCCAATAATCTGAAGCGGGGAAGTTCGGATTAACCCCCGTCGCCTCGCCTTTCAGGAAGAGACAAGCCCAACACTAGAAGTCCTCGAGATCGGAACCGCAGCCCAGCTACAACCCCAAACCCCAAACCCTAAACCCCAAACCCCAAACCCTAAACCCTAAACCCTAAACCCTAAACTGAGGCACGGCCTCCGTTGTGCTACGCGTAGCCGTGCCGCAGCGACGAGTTTCCCGACGCGTCGCAGGT